GTATGAAGATGCATTTAATGACGATGCACGTAATGAAGATGCATTTAATGAATGCACGGTATGAAGATGCATTTAATGACGATGCACGTAATGAAGATGCATTTAATGAATGCACGGTTTGTAGATGCATTTAATGACGATGCACGTAATGAAGGTGCATTTAATGACGATGCACGTAATGAAGGTGCATTTAATTACGATGCACGTAATGAAGGTGCATTTAATGTCGAGGCACGTAATGAAAATGCATTTAATGTCGATGCACGTAATGGAGATGCATACAATGGGTGCTGACAAGCATGAATTTTTTTGTAGTTTCTGTCGTTTTGTTTTAGTAACTTGCGTTTGACTTTTTTGCGTGGCAATTTTTCCACCTATTTATCTGGTTTGTTTAGTCTTGCAATCTACCGTTTTCATCTCTTCATACGAACAATAAAGACTTCATTCGTACCTGATATATTTATGCTTTTTAGATAAGTTTCGTATACCATTACCAACCTATAGGTATATTGCTTAGGTTGCCTTTCATATTTTTGTGCTGAAATATCAATAGGATGCAGATATTACTCTTGTTTATTACATCTCGCCTGTTTCGACTGCGTGCCAAGGTTTGGCCTTGCGCATGGTTGTGTAGATTGAGACGAGCATAACAATGGTGTATTGACGAGAAAATTCATGTTAAACTAATATCCACGTGCCAGTCTCCCTTGAAATTTTCTTCATAAAAACCGTATAGAAAATATATAAAATATTACCTCTGATAGGTGCAGCATTAATTATTATTGCAGTTCAACTTAATGATGTTATGATGATTTTAGTCTGAAATAAATTCACAGTAGAATATATAGTGCGTTCCCTTCGCAAGCAAAATATATATATATATACATATATAATCACAGCTTGATTCCCTCAAATTAAATTTCTTGGATTGCGTCGTAACTCAAATGATGAATGATGAATGATCTCAACCTTGACAGTTGAGTGGAGGTGATACTTCACTCTCTTGCTTCAACAGTGAATTCTGGTTAAAATTCACTAAGTGAATATCAGTGAGAGATTGTGATTTTTGTCTTGATTGTGATAAAGACGTGTGAATATTCCGCACTGGGGCGGCACAGATCTAAATATATGCGTGCGAAACTTTCAATTCTGAACATATGTTTGCACAACAATTTGTTTATTGCAATTACCTCAACAAAGTTCACGTGCACGTGACATTCTGTTATAAAAAAATTCTGAGTCAGCCTCAAACATTTGTGCAACTTCATCGAAGTATGGCGTTAAAACAACGTCATAAAATGTTCACTCTAGAACAAGGTTGCGAGTTCTCGAGTCAATTTGCCGAGGTTCATTGCGTGACGCGGGCGCCCGAAGCAATCATCGCGAGCTAACTGACCTGCGCCATAAAATACTTGCCTTCGCAAACCTTTTCTCCATTATTGCTCACTTCACTCTAGCTTGAGAAAAACTCCAGACAGGAAAGAAATGGAATCCTATAAAAAACTTCTTTTGGGAAATTTCGCTGTTTAAACAGTTCTGTTTCCCGAGTTTTTTGTTATGTATCTGAATTATCTGAGATACAAACCGCGATATTTTTCTTACCCCAATATTGTTTTTTAGTGTTGCGAAGAAAGATTTTACTTGATGTGTCGAGGCATTTTTTAATCTGCAATTGTTTACCTCTTTTTACTATGTCCTTTTTCGTAAAGAGTAAGATTGAAAATGGTTTAAATAATTAATTAGCAGCCTGTAATCTTGTTGTTAATATGATGGATTTTATTGCCAGACATGTTGATATCTGACATGTTGATATATATATATATATATATATATTTTATATTTTAAATAGACGATAATTAATCGTCTACTTAATTAATTAATTTAATTAATAAAAATATATATTAATTTAATTATTAATTAATATATATTTTAAATAGACGATAATTTGAATGCATTGCGGGACTCTGCATAATGCCTTCATAAACCAGATAATTACTCAAATGCTTCGAAATAACATTGCTTTTAATAATAGGATCGATGCAACCGTTTGAATCATAAAACTCCAGGGATTCCATCAAATTTCTGCCCGTGATTTTAATTTAAAAAAATGAATATAACTTATCAATTTTACTTCAATTTACTATTGATCGGAAGCTTTTATTTTTGAAAACTCTCAGCGCACGCTCGTTCATTCTGGTCTACAAGGAAAACTGTCTCACCAATCCAGTGCCGCTGTCTCACCGATCCAGCGCTACAGTCTCATCAATCCATCGCTACAGTCTCACCAATCCAGCGCTACTGTCTCACCAATCCAGCGCTACTGTCTCACCAATCCAGCGCTACTGTCTCACCGATCCAGCGCTACAGTCTCATCAATCCAGCTCTATAGTCTCACCAATCCAGTGCTATAGTCTCACCAATCCAGCGCTACTGTCTCACCGATCCAGCGCTACAGTCTCATCAATCCAGCGCTATAGTCTCACCAATCCAGTGCTATAGTCTCACCAATCCAGCGCTACTGTCTCACCGATCCAGCGCTACAGTCTCATCAATCCAGCGCTATAGTCTCACCAATCCAGTGCTATAGTCTCACCAATCCAGCGCTACTGTCTCACCAATCCAGCGCTACTGTCTCACCGATCCAGCGCTACAGTCTCATCAATCCAGCGCTGCAGTCTTAGCAATCCAGTGCTACAGTCTCACCAATCCAGTGCCATATATATACAGTCTCACCAATCCAGTGCTCCATGCTGGGGTCGCCGAAGCCGTTCTTGTAGTCCTGCCACTTCCTAGCGAAGTCCTCCTGCTTGTCCTGAGGCTTGCGGGCCACGATGATGGTCCAGCCGCCGCCGTCCGTGCGCTGGTCGCACCACACCTGTCATGTAGCCATAATTATCATTAGCATAAAAATTAATTCTCATTAACATGCAAAATTATTCGTTTGAATGTAAATTGATTGTTAGTAGCATGCATAATTCTCGTTTGAATGTAAATTGATTGTTAGTAGCATGCATAATTCGCGTTTGAATGTAAATTGATTGTCGGTAGCATGCATAATTCGCGTTTGAATGTAAATTGATTGTCCACAGCATGCATAATTCTCGCTTCAATGTAAATTGATTGTCGGTAGCATGCATATTTCTCGTTTTAATGTAAATTAATTCTCATTAATATGAATAGGAATCCTTGTTAGTACGAATAGGAATTTTCGTTATTTTATGGTTCGTTGGTCACACCACACCTACGCAGATTGTATTGTTTTCATTTTCATGGATAATTCTCGTTAGCACGGAAATAAATTCAAGTTAGCAAGGAAAGAAATTCTCGTTTGCTTGGAAATGAAATAAATTTATAATTCAAAAAACTGTGAGGAACACAAGGTTGGACAGTAAATAAAAATATACTTGTACTGTGTTAACTTGAACACATATTTACAGTAATGTGGAGTAATTGAATTGCATCAATTTGCAGAACATCATTCAAGGAGGACTATTAATTTTCCGGAACGAAATTATCCTCGTGTAAATTATACATTGACAGTAATATTTGTGTTGTCGAAATGAATCAATGATTCTCTTGAGTGACGATTGCTAAACTTGAATGATTTAGTTGCGCTTCTAAGCTCATATTGTGAATTATCTTTTATTTATCCGTTTCATGACCGGCATTCTAGCTAAACTCACCTGCGTTATTGCAATGGAGCAGAGCCGCTCCATGGACTTTTAAGGCCACGCTCGCTCGACCAGAGCGAATATTAAGCGCCGGCGCTGTTATTTTTGCCCTGAAATATTGCAGTCACGCCTCACGAGTTTCCGCCTCTTACCTCAGTGAACATCAAACGCAGATCATGCCATGCCTGCTACATATGGACAAGATGACCTGTCTTGCTCCAATGTTGCTCGTGTCTATTTTATAATATGCATGCCAAATGCGTACAGAACGCATTCAATTTCACTTTAGCAATTTTGCTAGAGGAAATTTTATCAGTGGACCGTATTCTGTATTTCTGCGGATCATACGTGCTCCGTTATACGTAGCTGGGTGGTAGAGGTTCTTTAGGTTAGTTGTTGCAACAAAAGTGTAAATACGTTTACGTGTACGAAGGTAAAGCGCGCGTAAGTAAACTCAATCATTGAGAATTTATCCCCGAATTGATGTTTTACTTACTGCATTTTGTCTTATTTTGCGAATTAAAAGTACTTGCTCTAAATCCGACAACAGGTTCGGGCCATCATGGTTGCTCTTTTCACAACAATCTACCATCGAATTCTGCTTTACGTGAGTTGTGGATGAGATATAAATCGTCTAATCATATTGTAGTTAAGTTAGTTCAATATGTGATAAAGGAAATTCAACAGTTTAACTTCAGAATTATGAACTTTAACACTCCCAATTGCGCACAGATTTTGTGTAAATGTTAATTTTCTTCTACCTGACCCTTAATTTATCTAAACTTTTTCTAATAAACCTTTCATAATGGACATGTGGTATTAAGAGTTAATCTAAAATGGTACTCAGTGGGTGAGTCATTTCGAAAGTACAGGTAATATTACAGCGTTTTGCTCTTGCAAAAAAAAGAGGAAAGAATTACTGTAATTCGACACGCATTTGACTCATCAAAAAGTGCAGTGTAAATGTTCACCGTAGCGCTTGCAGCCGCGGCGATTCAACGACAAGCTAGCTAGAGCCAGAAATATTTACTCCATTTATTACGAGTTCCCTTAATAGTTTACGTTCAAGTCGAAATTAATCGATAACCCGTGTGAGTAGTTCCGAATTTTTATTAGATTTGAGCCAAAAAGGAACGAGATGCAATTTGATTCAATTATATTATAATATTTATATTTCACTCAGTAAATTATTTTGATCACCCACTCTAGCTTGTTAACGTAATCCGACATCGTGCATAAAACTTTCAATCTTTGAGTCTTGCGCCAATTCCTGATGTAAATTTAATTTGATTGTCTATAAAAGATAATTTAAATACAAATGAACTCAATTATTTGACTAAATTTGCGGTTTAGGTGCATTAAAATACCGAGGTGAATCGCGGTTAAGGGCATCTGAAGGAAATATTTGTTCCGTACGATTCGTGCAGTTTTCTCTGTGATAATTTGCCTTTTCTGGCATGCATTATAGTTATTCAGGCTAGAAAATAACGTTCCAAATATTTTTTACTAAATTATTCACATTTGAAGTTGCCAATAGTTTTCAGTCATTTTCAGTCGTTCGTCAAGACGTTAACATAAAATATCTGTTAAAAAATTATCTTGGTGCTCTTTTTATAAGAGATAATTTAGCTTTAGTTCTGAAGACGGAAGTTTTTCGCAGAGGACGACAAGGTTTACCTCAGCAGCTACAGGACTCAACACGGGGGTTTTACGAGCCTCTAAACTGCTGCGTCACTTCATCAGTAGCGCCGGGTGTCCCAAACACCGCAAACTTCTGGCGTTGCATTGCCTCTCAAAAATCATATTACCTCTCACAAAGTTCTTCTCATCTTTTATGCAGCCATTTTCCGTGACAAAACTTGTCCCTTACAAATTATGAGGGAGAATTTATGTGCGACAGGTGACCGACTCGCTCTGAAATTATAGTGTTGCTGTCAAAATTCTGGTGATGTTTTATGGCCGATGCTGGAGAGAAAAACGTAATTGCTAGGAGTTCTGGCAGTAAAACTTTGTTATAAAAAGGCATAGCATATTTCGCTCGTTAAGACCAAAGTGCTCGGTACGTTTCGTCGTGATGAATATCCCAGAATTTGTAGATGAATATCCCAGGATTTCATGATGAATATCCTAATATTTCGTAATGAATATCCCAATTTCATCCCCAAAATTGTTGAAAATATAATATTCCTAGGAGGATTTTAAGCATCGCAAAATTTCGGCAGTACCTTTAAAAAACCCTCAAGTATAGCTTCAACTTTGTTTGGGTCTAATTTACATTTGCTCTTGTAATAAATAAAATCTACTTTAGCCTTTGCTTTTATGCTCTTGTCGCCATTACCGTCTTAAGAGCTTTATTATTCAGAAAAATTTTCACCAACTGTTCCTTGTCCGGAGAATATTCTAACCTAGTACTTGAATAAATAAACTTGCTAAAACTTTCATAACATAGAAAATAGTAAAATTTGAGGAAGAAGCGAGACTTAATTACCGTCTAATCCGAGGCTCATAGGCTCAACTTTTCAATGGCATTTAGATGAAGCGAGACGGCCTCTAGGGCTGGTAATTAAACTGAGAGCGGCGCTCGGATTACTGCGCGATGAAGTCGACCGCCTTCTCTTGATTGCTGTACATGCAAGACGAGGTTTACATCACGGTTCTACATTTATGTTATGTATTCAGATACCATGTCCAGGTAAGCGGATTTGAGTTTCTTAATTATTCGCGAGCTGGAATGAAATGAAAGTTTCATAATCTAAGATGATTCACAAAAATTAAAACTATACATAGTATTAGGCGAATTAATTAACACTTTAAATCATAAATAAATCAAATCCAGGGGAGCACCGTAAACAGTGCATACTTTAAGAAACTATTTCATAATTTTGAAAGGAAAGAATTGGGCTTACCCTAGTGGCGTGAATATCTAAAATGTCTATCACTTTTTTTGGAAGAACGTTGCCACTACTTGAGTTAACATTTCTTTATGCGAAAACAGTGTTGAAATGACAGGTATCCTATGTATTTTATTGCTCAAATTAACCGGCAATACGAGTTAACATTACTTCTTAAGTTTAGTTGTTCAGATTTTCGCAGTGGGTTAAGAAAGTTTTGTGCTAATTAATGTTATGAGAGACGTTTGTATTCATGCTGCAGCCCATGCTATAGATATTTACAACATTATTCAACTTTTCAATGCCACTTTTTTCACTGAATGCTGAAAACACTCATCTGCTCATGTATAGAAGAAGATTCTATATATTTACTTGAGCTGCTGGAACAAGAATTCACCGACTCCTTGTTGGATTCACATACTGTACTCCTTGTTGGATTCACATACGATGAGTGCCGGCGGTTAAAGCATACATTCGGTACTACTACTCAGTTGACGTTTGAAGAAAGAATTTATGTTCAAGCACGATTAGGAGAGACGTGTCTGATAGCTGAGCTTACTGTGGCCTGCGCATGCCGAGCTACCAGTAATATGTGACGACCATATGTTCATTGTTTTTTTAATGCCGGATTTTTTCCAAATATGAATATTGCCGCGGATTTTATTGGGATATTTCTGATACAACGCTTTTAGTATTGAATTCCAGAAACCTGTTAATGTCTTTCACAAAACCACGATTACATTTACTTTCCTCTACGGAACGCTTTTTGCATTGAATTCCAGAAACCGGTCAATATCCTTCACGATTACATTTAATTTCCTCTACGGATCAATGAATTCCTATAAAGTTTTTTTACACTTTTGATGAAGGTTTGATACGAAAACTTTAACCTAGCCTTCTGGTTCATCTGCGTTAGCTTGGCGTTAGTCGAAGTGCCCAGTACTGGTAGAAATTCTGTCAACATGTGTGCTTCCTCTTCACGGAAATTTAATCACAAACTGCGGTCAGCTACTCATTTTAAAGGTGAGACTTGGTAGATTCGGTTATGTTTCAATTATAATAGCGATTGACTCTTATTCGTTTTAAATATGAGCTGTTCGTCACTTCTCTTTTCATGTGTTCCTTCCCTTCCCTTAAGGATTCGGTTGAACTCAATCAGATAGAAACGGAAGCATCACAAATTTATTAACTCTATCGCTGTCGCTTCCAAGTATTTTGGATATGCCAATTTCACTCTGTCCCAACTTGTCACAATGACAGACTTCTCCTTTACGCACTGACTCGATTTCGATCCCAACTCGCGATGACAACCG